TTAGGTTGTTGTTGTTGAGAAAGATGGGCAACTATAAATTTGGCAACCACATCAAGAACTTAATCTTGAAAACACCAAGAACAAGTGCTTATAAACAAACACAATGGAAAACAAAACAAAACAAAACAAAATACAAAAGAAAGAACACAATATAAGCAAATAACAGAAATTTCGTTTCAACAAGGGGTCTGAAAGACTTTTTAGTAACTACTTTAAGTTTAAATAAAACTATAATTGTTTATATCTATATAAACTCATCCAAAATGGATTTGCTATTTCCACTTAAAACTACAAAGTGATTGTGTTACACTATCCGGTATTCTAAAAAATTTCTAGCCTAAAAAAATATCCTCTCTTTCTCTTTTCACCCAAAATGCTAATGGTAATTTTCTGCCAAAATCAACAACCAAAATGCAAACCGATTTTTTCATTGATATCAGATCAACTGCTAATGTAAACAGGTGCATAACATCTGTTCAAGATATATCTAATGCTCGACTTGTCCTAAACCAAGTCAACAAAGTAAAGAAACCTCCAAGTCAACAAAGAAAAGGAACCTGTCAAAGATGCTTGCATCTGCAATAGTGTTGACAACCATGTCTAGATGACCAATTAATCCATTTAAAAACAGAAAAAGGAAAAGTATATCAGGAAACCAATGACAGTTCTCTATCTATCTATCTATCTATCTATCTATCTATCTATCTATCTATATATATATATATATATTTGGGATAAGCTCAACAATTGAATAAATAAGACAACCTCCTCACACCATCCAAACCTAGTAGTTGCCAAAAATGCTATCAGAACTACTGGTGTAATGTGTGTCTATGTATATTTGTGCAAATGTGAGGGAAAACATGCAATAATGAAAGAAGGGTATATTAATCAAAGAGAGGGTGGAGTATGGTTACGATTCTTTGATTGCAGTATAAAAGGTTACCATGAGCCCCAACTATTCTAGCCTCAATCAAATAATAGAGGTTTGATAAGTGGGATGATTGACAAGCATCATGTAGCTAAAAATCACCCCCTTCAACTCCTAAGAAGCCAAAAAGTGGATCATGGGATTAATACATTCCTGGCACTATAAGCTTTGTATTTGCTGGGGTAGAATTTACTGAGAATCCCCAAACTAAAGCTGATGGTTTTCCACTACTAAAGTCATCTCCCAATAATATTCCCTACATTTCCCTTTTGCTTTTAGTTTCCAACAATACAATTTCCCTTGCACTGCAAATAGGAGTAGAAAGCCCATAATGCATTAGCAAAGGCAAAAAATGAAAAAAAAAAAGAGCAAATTCCTAATGCAGCAGGACCAGTGACATACCTCTTCACATCCTGAATCCATCATTACTCTAATGGATCGAGTAACAAGATCTTTAGCTGCAATATGAAAGTATCTTTAGTTTTGCAAGCAAGTACAAGGTGCTGTTTCAAGTAATATTGAAGTAGTAGAATGAAAACACTGATTCACATGTGCAAGCAATCACATCACTAAGCAACTTTTAGCATATAATAGCAATGTGCTACACTATTTCTATCGTTGACTAAAAATGGTCAGGAGTAGAGAGTTGAGATACACTTGTGACAGCTAAATGGAAGGCAAGATGCGACTAAATCAAGTTCAGTTCATCCCAAATTTAGGGACCTACAAAAGGGGTTTGGCAGGAAAGGAATGGTAAGCAGAGCAAGTACATTCTAAAACTTCGGTCTCTAAAAAAAAAAAAAGAGGTAAGGCAATTAGGTGCGTTGGCCTAACTACAAAGGTCAAAGGGTAATTAATACATATTCTTTAGACATAGAAAACCAAAAAGCAGTACATAATCCCACACTTCTCTCAAGAAGCAGATCCCTAACTGTAGTGGTTGGTATAAACGGCAAAATAACAACTCTAGCCCAAAAAATACAGAAGAAAAGAGCAAGAAAGTACAGCAGAGTTTTAATTTTTTGAGGCACGCACCATAATTGTTTTCAGAACACAAGCTACACACCAAAGGATGGGTCCCAAAACAGAATAAATCTAGCCTAAGCAGTACATACACGCAACACTCCAGAGAACAAAACATTAGATGAGAAGAAGGGGGACAAAACGCATCAGATAAGAACAAAAGCCAAACCTTCCAAATGCACAACTGCGCATGGACAAACCCAAGCCCATACATATCCCCAGAGAACATGGACAGAGCGATATTTTTTTTTTTTTTTTGTTTTCGAGGCTGATACCACAGAGTTCTTCAAGAACACAGGCCAATAGCAGACCTTTGTATACCAGATATTGGAACCACAAAACCACAAGGAAAGGACACGGTTCACAAACACAGTGCAAGTAGAAGGAAAGAAAGCTAAACGCACAACTCAGCAAGAGCAAGATCGTACCTCTCCCGAGAGCAAAACAGAAGGTCTTCAGAAGGAAAAAAAGATCCTAGGCTGGCCAAGCAAAACAAAGGACGAAAATATCAACTTTAGGCTAAAACTTATAGAGAAAACTTACAATGAAGATTGCACCTCAGCGGACAGGAAGAAGAAAACTTACAACGAAGGAAGAGGAGGAGAACCAAACGGATGACAGAGGATTTGGACTGCTGAGCATCGGATATCTCAACAGGCTCTTGTACCAGGGTTCAGAGCAGCCGGACAAGCAACAGAGCAACATAAAGCAAGGAGGCTCACCGCTACCGAAGATCTTGGTTGTATAATTTTGGTGAGGAAAGTGGCGGAGTGGAGAAGCGGTGGAGAGGCATTCGTTGTTCTGTATATCTAACCCTAAAGTAAATGGATAACATTGTCCAGAAGAAGGAGAGAGAGAACGCATTGGGAAGAAGGGACGCGGCAGACGATGCAGCAGGAGGCACATGGGATACTGCCAGAGGAGAAAATGAGAACTCGTAAGAAACTGCTGGCACGTTATCGCGCGATGCGCGTGCAGCATAATGTTCTCAACCCACATGCCGGACATGTGAGAGGACGACGAAACTTTTTGGCTGAATTCACTTGGGACGTTATCTACTTATGCTGATAAAGAATGACGCTAAACAAGTAATTAAGAAACCAAGTTTGGAAGGTTGGGTTGGATAAGAGTTTATTTGGATGATTTATTTGAGATATTTACTGTAACACTTTTTATGATGTGATGTATGTGAGATAAAAAGGTGATTGAGAAGATAAAAAGGTGATTGGGATTTGTGAGAATAAATTTTGCAAACCAAATTATCTTTGTCCAAACAAACTTTGTAATTAGGAAATTTTAGATTTAAAAAATAACTTAATTTGTTAGCTACTTTTTTCTTCTTTTTTCCCCCTTTTTTAACGTTAATAGTATTATGACTTATGATGTATAAGTATACAATGTTTTAAAATGAATCTAAACATAACTAGTTTAAATTAAATTTATTTTGGTTGTGCATCGGTGTATGCTGGATTTGTAGAATTAGTGAGTAGAGTCTTAGGATGCGTTTGATAAAATTCAAAACTCAAAATTTGAATGCATTGAGTTATTGAATTGTTAAATATAAAATTTAATATATTTGAATGCATATCACATTCAGTAATAAGTGAATAGTTTATTCCTTAATTTTGGGAGCAAGTTTTATAAAAAAAAAAATCAGTACTATTTAATTAATTCAAATATTCAACTTTTGGTTATCAAATGGTCTGAATATATTAAAATTTCAATCTATTAAGTTTAAGTGCTGAATTGAATTATCAAATAGAACCTTAATTAGGTTAGAGTTATTTAATATCTTGTGTATTGGTAATTGGATTTCCACTACATAATCGGTAATGCGGTAATATCTGAAATTCGAAATGTCAATAATAAGTTAAAATATTTAAAATTTTCTCTAAAAAAATTATTGCTCTAAAATAATATTCCATATTTTTTCTAACAAATAAAAAAAAAACGAGCACATCGGTTATCAATTCATCGTCACATTAAGTAAACAAAGAACAACAAGTGAACATTTGGATGATTTGGATAGGAGTTTATTTGGATGGTTTATTTGAGATAATTACCGTAGTACTATTTGTGATGTGATACATGTGAAATAAAAAAGTGATTGGTAAAGTAAAAAGATGATTGGAAGTTATGGAGTAAATTATTTTATTTCAAATCTTGTTAATCTAAACACACCCAATTGTATCTTGCCATTTGTACTGTCCAAACTCCAACCATTCAGTAATGCAGTGAGCCATAGTAGTTAGTACTCAATAATCAAATACTCATAGTCAATAGTTAAAACTAATCAATAAGTTTGTCAGTAGTGCTATATAGTCATCGGTTAGTAGTTAAGTAATTATTAGTTGCTATTTACTACTAATTAGTATTTAGTAATATGTATGGATATAAATAATATATATATACACACACACATACATATTGTAAAAATTTAAAAAATTCAACTGGTAATTGGTAATTCAATAATGCGTTTTTAATATTTGGTTTCAAACAGTTTTACCAAACACTAGAATTGGATATATTTTGATTTTACCGAATTTCGTTTTACCAAAATTCGAAATCCAATCTAGATTGGATCGACCAAATTTTCAGTTTTTTTTTTCTGATATTCGAACACTCCTATTAATATTAAGATAAAAGTTAGTATCGCTCAAGAAGATCTGGGACAAATTTCTTTTTCACTTCCAAATATTTACGAAGTTTAACTAGAACTTTATCTGAAAATTCCGCTATTGCCCTCGATACTTGTACTGACTCAAATCACCACAAGTATCATTGCTGAAGGAACACTGCACATTGCATTACAAATGCAGTAATGTTAAGAGATGTTAATAAAAAGAAAATGTTTTAGTGCTAGGAGTAAACATTTAGACTGGATTGGGCCATGAGAGCAGCCCATGAATTCAAAGATTGGGCCCTGGACGCTCAACCCCTCAAGCAACCCTTTTCCTTGTGAAATGGCGGGAAATTTTCGTTACAAAAAAAAAAAAGAAATAAATAAAAATTCAAGCGAATCCCCAACCCCAGAGCAGAGGAACAGAGCTTCTGTCGTTAAGGGCAGAAGGCTCATCGAAACCGTCGTTTCCAAAACAAATCTGAGCGTAGAAGTAAAAAAGAAGAGTAAAAATTTAAAAACTGAAAGAATGCAATCAAAGATCAGTTCATTTTTCAAGCCCTCTCCAGCTACGGCCAAAATTAAAGTCGCATCTCCGATTTCTGCTATTATATTCGCCAACGAAGCCGAGATCTGTGAAGACCCAGAAATAACTGTTACTTACAAGCGCAGAGCTAGAAACCCAGGCAGGTATTGCATTCTTATTGTTTTAGTCCTTTCTTTTTTTTTTTTTTTTTTAAATTTCGTTGAGCTATTGAGCTTTAATTTAATTTATGATCTTCGGCCGAACACCCCAACTGGGCCATCTCCCTGAATTAATAATATTCGATTATACCCGATGTTTGATCGGATTCTATGTTTTGAGGTTTTACTTTTCCTTGTCCATATATATTTTACCCTATTGATCTTAATGTTGTAGACATCGTAGCTGCTTTTACGAAAATCCGGGAATATTCTGGTGATAACTGCAATTTTCCTTTTCTTTTTTTTTGGGGGTTTACTCTTGTTTGTAAGATTGTGATACTGATGTATGAGGAATTTTTACAATGTAATAGTTAGAGACAACTAGCTTATTTTTCTCAAGTGGATAAGTATTTACATCGTTGAATTTTGAGTTTTTTTTTTGGGTGCTTTTGACTGTAGCCATGTAGCTGAAAATGGTGATAATAGAATAAAGGATTCCAACCCAGATAAAGAGCAAAGGCAAAAAAGTATCTATTTAGTCGTTGTTTACTATGCACAGATACTGATGTTTTTGGATAAATTTCGAGTCCAAACTGCAGTGAGAGTGATGCCGATTCAGCTGGAGCAACAAACAGACTTGGTGAGGTGGATATGGTAGCAAAACTGGAGGTGCCCAAGTCTGGAAAAGTTCTTCATAAAAAGAGAAAATACGCACAGTTTTATTTGGAATTAGGTCAGTCTGATTTTCTGCTGCACGCTTGTACAATTTGTGGATTTAAGTATGCCAAAGGTGATGAAGGGGATGAAAAGGTTCACAAAACATTTCACAAGAATTACACTCACGGCATTCAGTTTAAGGTGAATTTGGATTTACAACTTAGAACTCAACTTAGGTTTATCCAAGTTGGCTTGGATTAGTATTTACTGACATCCATTACTATGATTTTCAGGGGTGGCGAAATGAAAGAGTTATATACGTTCCTTCGCTTGACACTGGGCGTGTTATCATAGTGTTAAGCGATGACCCTCCTGCTCAAAGAAGCAAGGTTAGCATCAATACTTTGAGTTTCTGTTGGTTTTGATAGAAACTACTCGGTTGCTAGTTACTTAATCGCACTAACGAGATGACTTTGTGGGTGGCAGGTTCAGGATGTTGTTAAGATGATGGAGATGGATCTTGGGGATGGGTGGATATTTCATCAGCACTGCAAGGTGTTCAGAACACTCGTTACTTAGTTGCAGATTACTTACAGTGTAGTCTACATATCTGCTCTTCTAGCTTTCCAATTTTCTACAGATTACTCTTTCCGTTAGAAAATATGCGTATTTACAAACTCATGGTGGACCAACAACAGATATTCTATACATGGGTTTTCTGCTCAGATACTACTTACTATGGCTCAGAGATTACTCAGTATAATTCACTTTGTAGAGACGGAATAGTAAACCACATCTTTGCATCACATTTTGAGTTCAATTTCTTTTACATATTTGGTCTTGCTTCTAACTGCATTTCCTACTGCCAACAGGTGTATCTGTTTGTATCTTCTGGAAGAGTTACTGGCTGTCTAGTTGCAGAACCAATAGAGAAGGCCTATCGGATTGTTTCAAGCTCAACAGGAAAAAAGTCTCAGGATCAAAATGGAAAAGGAGGGAGAGAGAATTCAGTGGTTCTCCAATTTGGTGAAGTGAGCTTCCAAAGAGAAATAGTGAGAAAGAATAACTCTGCCAAAGGCAAGGAAATGTGTGATTCAGTCACTGGAGAGATCTTATGTGAGAAGGAAGCTGTACCTGCTAGTTGTGGTGTAAGGGCCATTTGGGTTACTCCTTCCAACAGAAGGAAGCACATCGCGAGTTACTTGCTGGATGCTGTGAGGTAAGACAATGATTGCATGTTTGGCCAATAAAAAGTTTCTCTTCATTCTGGTCCTTTTATTGGGAGTCTGTGGCAATTGCTCACGGCAAACAAGATGACTAAATCAATCGAAATGGTTGTCTGGAATATAAAATCAGCTGAATAGGACTAGGTGAAGAAAATTTCCTATATATATCTTCCACATTTCCATGCAACAAATAAATAGACTAACATCTAGCTGAACATATTAATTGAACAAATCAGTGTGCACTTTGCTTTGAATGGAACTCAATTTGTCTTTGGACTGTGCAAGAACGGTGTCCTGTTTGCCTCAGTTGTCGAAACAAGTTGATCTAGAAGTTTAGAGAATTTAGTATTGTTACTATGTTTAGGTAAAGCATTCATACTTCTGCAATGCTTGCGTGATCCTTGCAATGCTATATCATAAATTGGTTCACTTGTACTTCATTTTTACCTGCCCACTTCAACGACTCCAGCTTGGCCAACTTGTGTCCTGATATGTTGTTCAAGGCAAGGATTGAAAAGACCTTCTTCTGGGCAGTTTAGGTTCAAATTGGAAAGCTGCTAAAAATTGGATGAATGGACTTGGATCCATTTCACTTGAGTCGGCAGAGGAGAGTGGAAATTTGTCTGTAGGGATAAAATATGGAGACCTTGGAAGTAATGTTAATAACATACCTCTATCGAATTACACGTGCAATTACGAAGTCAACTTCCAGTAGGTCAATGCACAGAATTTGCGGTGAATATATATCAAAAGATTGTGGCTTTTTTGTTGCACATTGCCTTGAAAAGGAAGCTAAATTTGCCGATGCCGTTGTCTATAGAAAAGTGGAATACTTTTGTTAATGACCTTCGGATGAAATTAGAATGTTCTAAAACTGTGAGTAGGAATTCGGAAAAACGGTAGATACTTGTACTTGATACGTGGCTGTTAATATGTCTTTGTATACCAATTTATTTATGGGATCCATTCCTCAAGATAGTAAGTAACAAAGAATAGTACTTTGAATGTCTGATGGGAAAATTGCAATTTGAATTAGTCTCCTAAGATTTAGACCATTTTCCTTTTAATCTCTCATGCTTTGACTTTCACACCCCTGGCTCCTGGCAGGCTGGTATTTGCCATAATTTATCATCAGCAGTAATGATACAGAAGTGTGGGATGAAATATGGGGGCGAAGTTGGCAGGGAATAAGAAAAACTGGGAATTTTGAGTTGGTAGGGAATAAGAAAACGCGACATGATGGACAAAATTGAAACTAGTGATCTGATTTAAAAGAATGAAACTGGAATTTGGCCTGCCGGAGTTGACGCAAGGGGATGTACTACTGTCACTATCCCTCTCGTCGGATCAGTTATTCTCTCCCTAAAGAAAAGGAATCGACGGTCTTCTCCGATGCCACGTCGATGTTTATTTATTTGTTTATTTTTCCACAAATGCAGGGGCAGCTTCTGCAGCGGCCGAAATCTGAATCGTACCGATTTGGCATTTTCTCAACCAACCTCTGCTGGAAGGGCCCTAATATCCAACTACATTGGCGGAAATGCATTCTTGCTCTACACAACTTGGTGATTTTGAGTAAGAAACATTCGCAATTCCATCTTAGGTTAATAAGTTTATATGATATAATCTAGAATGAATGTACTACTGTCGATCTATTTCAAGCGTTCGTTAGTAATAGCCAATAGAATTTTATGGTCACAATAATGTAACATATTAGGTAGTTAGAACCTTGGAGAAGCAGAAGAGAAAGCTGAACCATCCATCATATTTGGAGTTCTCATCCAAAAACAAACCAAGAAGAAGACGCAAAGTTCTAAATTTTACCAGCTCGCATGATGTAGTAATGCCAAGAATCCGAACATGCTAAATATTTTGCCCCTCGGCCATCTGTTGACTGAAGACCCGTTTTAGGCTGCTTCAGGAATTGGAAAAGCTTAGCCGCCGCAGAATTCAGACTCATTTCTTTGGTTTTTAACTGGTTGTCGTCTTTGCTAGAATACATACTGTATCGTCCTCGGGCAGTCCCATCACACGATTACCAGTAGGACAATACTGAAGAGATACTCCAAAATTTGTCAGCATCCCAAATTTCAATTTTACCGGCAAGCCAAACACTCCTAAGACAAGAATCTGTCAAATTAATCTTTTGTTTATTTTATTTTTTTGGGGCCGGGGAGTGGTGTTTGTTGGGGTTGCTTATTAAATGATGAGAATTCTACTCCACTTACATAAGCGAATTTAGCGAAGATGGAAATCGTTTTCTTTTTTGTCTTTAAGAATTTTAATCCTTTTTCTTGTTTTTGGGTGGGGGAGAGGGGGCGGGGCGGCGGGGTTGGGGAAATTGAGTTCCCGTGCCAGATATTAGGGCCGAAATTGAGGACTTGCATTTATGGGTATTTCATCCATAAACCAGTATCCTAACCAAAGACTATGCCAAGACTAGAAGTTCACAAAATCTGTTCATTATTTAAATGAGTCTACCGTCCTCTGATCGAGTCATAAAGATCTTTTTGGTAAAATTTGAAAGCATTTTGCTTGCCGTACTCCTCATTCTTTTCGGTAAAAAATTTTTTTTTTTTTTTTTTATATCAGCAATCTAATCTGTAGACAGCCATCTTTTGCCAAAAGTCAGCCATAGAAATCGAAATAGCAAACATGGAGTTGCTGCAATTGCTACATGAAACAACTGGATTGGTACAATCATTGAGGATACTCGGGCAGGCTATAAGTAAATTGTTTTGTATGTACTGCTTTTGGCAACTAGGAATAGGAAAAGAGTGATCCTCGTTTTGATGTAGCAGCTCAAGCATCGGGCAATCATTATGACAAGGAATGGGTATATCCCAACTACTCATGCGAAATGCATGAGTTGTAAAGTGATATCGATCCTTTACTCACTTTGCATACTTTGATGTGATAGTTAATGAAAATCCTATCGCCTTGATAAAAAACAAAAAAAAAATCAATTATTAGACACCATCTGGGCCAAATTAAAAATATATTCATCTTTTCAATTTAATCATTGATTAAAACAATTTTTGAGCTTTTGTACATTATCCCCAGCATAAAGTGCTTCCAGATTGTCACGTTTTGTTTAATCTAAATTTTTATTCAGATTTAATTTAAATTTTGATTAGGATGTGGATAGTCAAAAAATTATTTGCTTGCATCACAAACATAATTTTCAACACACCTTCTTATCTCACATATACAAAAATTGTTACAATTATTATTTCAAATAATCTCCTATCCAAATAGAGGCTTTATTTTCCTTAAAAATGAATTGCAGTTTCTCTCCAAAAAATTTTGACTCTATTTGAATTAGTTGTTTTTTAGTGTGTTTTTCAAAAATTTTGCTGTAGTTGTGTATATAAAAAAATTTTACTGTAAATTTTTTTTGAATGTGGCATTTTTGAAATTGTTTTCGTTTGTGTATTACTATAATATTGTATATAAAAAACTTGTTTTTTAAAAATTGAGGAATTCAAATAGAGCTAGATTTTATATAAATATTTTTTAATCACATTTTTATCTTGTAAATTTTTTTTGAATGTGGCATTTTTGAAATTGTTTTCGTTTGTGTATTACTATAATATTGTATATAAAAACTTGTTTTTTAAAAATTGAGGAATTCAAATAGAGCTATATTTTATATAAATATTTTTTAATCACATTTTTATCTTATATATATTGAATCTTTACAATATATTTTTTTATTAAAACTTCAGAAAATAACAAGCCAATTAGGCTCTTAAATTTCAGTTATTTGAACACATGGAAGAAAAGGTGCAGCAAGTAGGACTTAGAGCAAAAAAAAAAAAAAAAAAAAGTAGGATTTAGACCAAATTCAAGTGGGTGAAGGTAAGATACGGCATTTATTCATGAAGCCGGAACACAAAAAAAGTGAATATTGTTACGCGTCAGACTCTGACACATAATTTTTACTTGGCGCCCAAGCAAAACGCCGATGACACACATTCAATCTCTCTCCTCCATCTCGAACCCACACCATGCTACCTTCCAAAAATCTAATCATCTGCGTCACGCGCCCCAGCCCCACAGTCCCAGATCTCTACTACTGCGATAAATCTGATTCCCAGATTGCCCCGACCGCCTTAAATTCCATTTCCTTTAATACCCCTAAAACCCCGTACTTGCGGACTTCTATATAAAACCCTCCACCCTTGTCACCTCAGACCTTCCTCTCTCCCCTCCATCTCTCCTGTCTCTCTGAGTACCATATTACATCGCATCGGAATTTATGCCTCGGCCTTGGCGGCCCACTGGTATTTGAAGCTAATTGTTGCGATTTTAAGGGTTTCCTTGGGGAAAAATGGTGGACGGCGGTGGCGGAGCTGCGTTTCCGGTGATATTCTACGATGGAGAGCGGGAAATCAACATTGGAGACATCCGTGTCCAACCAATGTTGGAATTCAAGACATTCCAGATGATGATCAGCCAGAAGATCGGAATCTCCCCCAACCAAATCTCCATCTATCTCGTCCACCACAGTTCCCTGGCTGAGGAACGCCGGAAGACCCCCATCACGGGGAAAGTGAATTTCGCCTTGATCATTCGCCAGAAGGATTGCTTCTTTCTTGTCGTCTTGAAGAGGTCAAGAAAGTCTAGGAACCGGAAGTTGAGGCCCAACGGCGTTGATTTCTGCGACTACTTGTCGGATAATGATTTCCTGCCGTCTCCTCCGCCGGAGAATGTGGTTCTCCTCCGGCGAAACCAGGCGGAGGTGAATATGAACGGTCTGCAACTTAATTGTTTCGGCAAGCCGTTCTACGATCAGATTACCCAGGTCGAGCTGGCGGGTTTAAATGATCGGCTGCAAAATTTGAAGGTGCAGAGAGAGAAATATGGCATACCTGCGCCGCAACCCGTGAATTTCAGCGGCCCCAGTCTGGCTCCGAGGCCGATGCCGCCCGACTTGAACCCGAGTTTGGACCCGGGTTCATTTCCAAGGATCCAAGAGACGATGACGAGAAACGTGAAAGAAAGTAGTACTAGTGCCAGTAACAAAGTAGCCTGCGAGGAATGCGTGAACGCCAAGAAGGCTGGCTGTACCGCACCCTTCCATCCTTGTGTAAACGACCCGCTAATTCCGCGGTTCTTGACTCGGGCCGGCCCGATTGCTAGGCCCGTCAAATCTCCCCGGTGAAGGTTCCATATTTAAATAAAGTTAAATAAATGGTGGATAAGTGAGTAATGTATTGTTGGGGAAGCTTCTGGCAAGAACTGGATATTTGTTTTTCCCCCTTTTTTCCTTGTTGTAATTGCGAGTGGCTTTTGTTTTGTATAGACTATAGAATTGAACAGGAGGTTTTCATTCATGGGCTCTGTGATGGTACGCAGTAACGAACGTGTACCATTACCATCGATATGGTTTAACCAAAGGTGCGTTGAAACTCTAGACTAGAGGAGATGGTAGTTTAGAAGCTGCTCTGGCAGGCTGGCAGCCATTAGTAGTCTGAGAAGCAGAGTGTAGTTGGTGGCTTTATATTGACAGATATGCCCTTTAAGGAGGAAGGGCAAGGGCCAAGGTTTTGGATTTGTATTGTTGTGGGTCCCCTATGTGGGCCCCGCTCTTGATTTGGGCGAATTGTACATTTTTATTTTTCCCCTTTTTCTATTTTTGGATGCCTTACATTATTGAAATTACTCTTTCGCTTGGCGTAGCCACAGCAATTAGGTCAGGGGGTGTGACAGCATTTCCCTCAGTCTGATAATTATTTGCTTCTCTTTATTGGGACGTTTTGCTTCAGCCTCTCTTTTGTTGGTTTCCTTTACCGTCTTAAATTCAGCGTTTGTATCCCCTATTCAAAACGACGAGGAAGAAATTTTTTTTTTTTTTTTTTTAAGGTTTATCACGCGGAAAATCAGACTTAAGTGCTTTGACCATCAATCAAAAGGGGCAGTAATTATCTATCGAGAATGGTAATTTTAGTTAGTATTTTTAAACTAGTTGGTCTTGTGGAGATGAATAGACAAAGATCACGCAAATTATATCAGATCATTATCATGCATAAATTTATTTATTATTTCATTTTGGAATTGCCAAATTGCATTCGCATGGCAACACGTACTAGGTCTTTCCATCCAATGGTTCCTTGGATATAACATTGGGTTTGTTTGGATTGTAAGTTATTTGGGATTATTTGGAATATTTTTACTGTAGCACTTTTTGTGATGTGATGTATGTGAAATAAAAAGGTAATTGGAAAGGTAAAAAGGTGTATTAAAAATTGTAATGATGATGTAAACAAATAAAACTAGGTAAATAATGCTCAATCCAAACAAATCCATTATTTTATCTTAAAAACTTATTCGTTTACATATTATTATAAATGCATTTTTTGCCAAACGGCACCTTAGTCTCAGTGAGGCTGGCTGTGAGTGGGCGGTCACGTGACTCATTTTGTACAGCGTTTCATAATCGTTTCTCTTTTTTTTTTTTTATTTTTTTTTTCATTTGATCTCCAATATTGAATGCAGCATGCCAATGGTCCGACACCGGAAGCGTCCTTCGTTCCTCTTTCTGCCAAAAGCAGGAAAGGGCTTTATGTAACGTCAGTTTTTAAAACCGCAGCTCTTCTTCTTCTTTCTTTTTTTTTTTCATAACTCTCTTCACTCCCTCGCGTCGCCCAAAACCCGCTTCTATCCGCGCTCTTGCTATTCCGACCATCTAACATCTGGAGAGAGTAGCAATGGCCGATTATTTCCAAATAAACCCGCAAGAATTGGATGGTGATGGAGAGCTCTGGAAACTTCTCCCCTCTGATATTTTCCCTTTTGATCATCAAATTACCTCTTCCACCCTTAACCGTCCAACCTACTCCTGCTATAACCCCTACAACTACTCTCTTGCTCAGCAGCAGCTTTCATGCATGGGCTTTGAAGACCGCCTTTCTCAAAGCTTAGCTGCTCTCTCTTTTTCTCAAGATTCTGGGCTCAGCCCACCATCACACGGCTTCGGCACACCTCCTCCAAACTTGCGAGTAAATTTTTTCTCCTGCATGCAGTGCCTTTTTTCTTTTTTCTTTTTTTTTCCCAAGGTTAAAATTGTTTAGTAACTGCATGTTCCTTCTGGATTTCCTTCATGGTTGTCTATCGCAGCGG